GGAATGAGAATAGGACCAGCATGGCCAGCAGTTAGAGTGACTTAGGCTCTGTATGACACTGGCGTGGAGGACAATTTGACCCTCTTGGATTTCCTAATATCCATTTTTGTTGTTTTAAGCTGGGGAGGGAGGGAGGAGGAGTGTTTGGAATTTTTTTTTTTTTTTTAACCTTAACCAGACTTCCTTGAAATATGTGGTCTGATGGTGATATTACCTTATTTTTTAATCTATAACTTGCATAAATTATTCCAAATTTTAAAATTAAGTAAGTATACCTTATTTAGATGTGGCTGTTACGGGAATCCTACAGGTAAATGAATTCAGCAATATTAGGTAAAAATCAACCTGTGTAATAATTGCATTAAGACCCTGGAAACAGGTTTTAGATGTGTTCCGCAGTCTTGCTGTATGCCAGCGACTTTTATCTCTGTAGGACACTTCTGCTTCTTTATGGTGCTAACTATGGCTGTGCAGCTTCTGCAGGCATGGACTCTATCCCCTTCTCTGTATTATGGAGAGTATGCTGAGCAAATAGGTCTTTTCTTGTGTCTTAGTGTCCAAACTGATAGCTTTGCCACTGGTTTAAAAGAAAAAATGTCATCTTGTTATTCAGGTTTCAAACCGTGTTAAGGCTAAACACAGGGAAGTTTGCACTGAGAATATCTGAAAGGACAATATAATTATCAAAGACGTAAATATACATATATGTGTTTGTATATATAAACCCACGCTTTTATTTGGATTAATTGGAGAGGCCTCTATCCCTTTAACTCCTTTTCAGCTTTGGATTTAATCCTTATCTTTGTGTGTATAGCAGATTTTTTTTTTGAAATGAGAAAACTGTAACTCTGTCTGATATGAAAGTTTTCCTGAAAGTTTACCCTACCTGTCTTCAAAACCTGTTATGATGCTAAATTCTTGAAATGCTTTGCCTGCTCTGTAGAAAACTACTTTCTTTGCTCCGCTTTAAAGGGATTTCCTTGAAATTTCAATCTCTAGGTGATTCCTATTTCTGTTACTGTGGGATTTGTATATTTGAAGTCAGTAAAGTTCAAGTAGGAAATAATGAAGAAAGGACTAACTGTTCTGAAGAACTAAAATGCCAGTCAGGACAGAAGAATGAAACCACACCAAAACCTCATTTGTAAATGCTCCTACAGTAGTACTAAAAGTAATATGCTTGAATAGTTTGATGTGAAAATACTGATGCAATGTTCATTCAAATGCTTAGTAAAAGGAAAGTAATTAGTAGCATACTTAAATCAAGATACCAAAAGTAAGATTATAATGAGATGGGTTGCACAGCTGGAGGAGTGGTATTTCATCTTAAAGCACTTACGAAAATAAATAAGTTCACTGACATAGATGTTCCATGAAATACATATGAATGGAACTCCTTTGGCTAATTTGAGAGTGTTTAATGTTAGGGCAATGTTACTGATCATTTGATGACGATAATGGCAGTGGTTGTCATTGTGCATGTTGAAATGTGCTGTGAGGGCAGAGAACTGTATAATAAAGGGACACTTCTGTGAGTGTCTTCTGGCCTTGATAAATGCCGTAATAGATAAGTGTTGCTGACAGGTTCTTGGAGTACCTACTCAACAAATGCATCTGAAAGGAGTACCTGTTGATTTATTCTTGAGCAATGCAAATACAACTTCTCAGAACTAGTGACTGCAGCGTGTTCAAATCCTGCAATTTCTAGAAGTGTAGAAGAGTTTACACATATTAATCCTTTCTCCAGAAAATCCATCAGTGATGCATTTAAAAGGGGGATCTACCTAAAAATCCAAAGCCTACTTAAAAAGAATTGAAAAGAAGGATATAAATTACAAATTGGCATTAATGGAGTGTATTTAAAGTCTGATAGTATGTATATCACTGATCTGTGGTATATGTTGATAAATTCATGTTGCTGCAAATAAAGACTCTAGAAGGGTCCTATGAAGTCCGAATAAATAACATATTTAAACAGAATATAACAGAATAAAACAGATTATTAGGAGTAGGAAAAAACACCTTAGCTTGACCTAGTAACAACAGAAAAAAAGCCTGTCAAATCCTGCTGATTTTGCAGAACAATTAAAAAAGCCCTAGAAACTAATATTAAGAATGGTTTTAAATATGTCAGTCAAACTTTGTTTCAAAGTTAGTGAGGCCAATAGGTGATGAAAGCATGTTAAGAACATTTGAAGGTCATGAGGTATAGATGGTCTGTTTTTACAGTGGAGACAGCAGAGGTTACCTGCACTGATCCCTCTGGCAAAAAAAGGTAAATAAGCGACAAAATTAGTTGATACCTAAAATACAAAAGAATGTCTGACAAAATCCATTTTGCATATGTTCTGCTGAAAACTTTTTGAATTATTTTATATGTTTTCATACGCTTTTGTTTTGACTTTCAGCTTGTGATGAATGGAAGATTTTACCAAAACCTAATCTGCATCGAGATGTCAACAGATTTGGTCACACTGCTGTTGTCAGTAATGGGTAAATGAAGTGTCTTCTAAATTTTCCTGGGCATTTTTGTGAATGAAAAAACTGTGGCAGAAATGATACCTGTGTGACGTATCGTTCAATGGCATACAATTGATGCAGTTTATTAACGTGAGAACTAGTGCTCATAAGGGGCTTTAATTGTCTTTGGTGATTACCTGTACTGATTACCTGTCTGACATGCTGTGGAATCTGTTCAATGACACTTCATATGAGCCTTCTAGTGTACTAAGGTGTTTCCTTAGTATTGTGAACCACAGTGAATTTGAAATTCAGTACCAACTATAATCCTCACTTATATATGACACGAGAAATCTTTTTCTCTTTGCAACATGCTATAATTCCTTGATCTTCTACAATCACAAAATCAAAAACATCTAACTAAAATTTGCTTGGAAAAAGCAAGATTTTAATGGTACTGATACAGTTGTCATCATTAACCGTAAAATCAGAATCACAGAATTGTTTGGGTTGGAAGGGACCTTAAAGACCATCTAGTTCCAACCGCCCTGCCATGGGCAGGGACACCTTCCACCAGACCAGGTTGCTCAAGGCCCCATCCAGCCTGGCCTTCAACACTTCCAGGGATGGGGCATCCACAACTTCTCTGGGCAACCTGTTCCACTGCTTCACCACCCTCACCATGAAGAATTTCTTCCTTATATCTAATCTAAATCTTCCCTCTTGCAGTTTAAAGCCATTGCCCCTTGTCCTATCACTCCATGCCCTTGTCAAAAGTCCCTCCACAGCTTTCTTGTGGGCCCCTTTAGGTACTGGAAGACTCTAAGGTCTCCCAGGGGCCTTCTCTTCTCCAGGCTGAACAACCCCAACCCTCTCAGCCTGTCTTCAGAGGAGAGGTGCTCCATCCCTCTGATCATCTTGGTGGCCTCCTCTGAACTCACTCCAACAGGTCCATGTCCTTCTTGTGTTGGGGTCCCCAGAGCTGAAGGTAGTACTGCAGGGGGTTCTAACCAGAGCAGAGTAGAGGGGCAGAATCCCCTCCCTCGACCTGCTGGTCATGCTGCTTTTGATGCAGCCCAGGATACAGTTGGCTTTCTGGGCTGCCAGTGCACATTAGCGGATCATGTTGAGCTTCTTGTCAACCAGCACCCCCAAGTCTTTCTCCTCAGGGCTGCTCTTGATCCGTTCTCTGCCCAGCCTGTATTTGTGCTTGGGATTGCCTGACCCGTGTGCAGGACCTTGCACTTGGCCTTGTTGAACTTCAGGAGGTTCGCATGGGCCCACCTTTCTCTCCAGCCTGTCCAGGTCCTCTGGATGGCATCCCTTCCCTGCAGTGTGTCGACCACACCACACAGCTTGGTGTTGTTGGCGAACTTGTTGAGGGTGCGCTCAATCCCACTGTCCACGTTACCAACAAAGGTGTTAAAACACTAGCAGGAAAAAAAGTCTGCCAGCATCTAGGCTATATTAAGTATGTTGCTTATCCTTTAGAAAATGCGGCATACTTTCATGTCATTTGTTGAGTAGAGGAGCTCAGTAAAGCTTCATCACCTAGAAATAAGAGGTGAAGTGAATCTGGAGTTTTCTGGATTTGGCAGCTGAGCTCTCTACTTCTTCTACCCCAACCCCCAAAGATAAAACTGTAGGACAAACGTCTCCTTTTTGGTGGAAAAGTTGTAGAAAACCGTAGTCAGGTTTAAAAAAATTCTACTAATAGCTTGTGTCAGTTTTACTATTGCTGGTTGCCAAATGACCTAGTATCTGACAGTTGCAGTGCCATAGATCATTGTACTACTGATCATTCCTCTTCTACATCATGCTAATAACCTCTGTATTTAAGTATATACGGGCAACTTACAGATTCTCTACATATGGATATTGTATAGGTCAGAAAAAATGGAGATAAGTAATACTACAAATGAGAGTTTGATTTTTAACAAAAATAGCAGTAAGCTGTAAGTCTGTACACAGAGCTCTTGAAATTAATCAATGACCAGATGACTTCATGAAGCGAAAATTGCTTGGAATTAATGAATTCAGCAAGTGGTAGTTTTCCATTCTGATTTGTGTTGTTTTAAGACACCAGAGCTATGTCTGATAGTTTAAGAACTGTCACTTGCAATGAATTAGATTCAAGGTAAAAATGCCTTTTTTTTTTGTTCCCCCCC